GCTTGCCCATGCCATTCCCAGTGAGTTCTTTTCTAGGCCTCCTGTTTGTGGATCAGATAAAGCTCTCAGCTACATCCCCAGCGCTGGGCTTGCTTGACTGCTGCGATACATAGTAACGGACTCTAACCCTCTGGAACACCAGTTCCCAAATTTGATACTTTTGTAAGCTGTCTTCATTGTGATGTCTGTTCAGGGCAGTAGAAAAGTAACAAAGTAACTAAGTCACACACACACACACACACACACACACACACACACACACACACACACACCCCTCCGCCATTCTGAACCCTACTGGTGGTGCGTTAGGCACTGTGTTAGGTTACTGTGTGTTAGGTTACTGTGTGGGTTAGGCAGTTATCCCAAATTGCATTAACTTTGCCAGCTTAGTTGCAGCCCCCCTGCAGCTCCAGCAAGCTAAGGGGGCACCTTGTCCTTGAGTTGCCATAGCAACAGACTTTTCTAGTAAGCAGAAGCATCACTTGATCTTCCGTTGGCGTGAGGTTGTCATTCATAGACAAAGTGACCCAGGCACAGGCTGCTCTGTGCTGAGGGTGGAACTCACCTCTGTTGAATTTGTGTTCTACCCCTGAGTGCCGCTCAAGCCCCGTGCCCACTTAGACAGAGATGTCAGCCCAGAGCCTGTCCCCTCTAGCACCCTGGCATGACATGTACTGACAGACTTGACCACTGACCTCTGACATGGAGGCCTTGCTTTGTTTGCACAGTCCTCAGAGCCCCAGGTCCTAAGGACAGCGGTGGTACACGCCATCCTCCCTACGCATGTAAGCAGGACCAGGGATCAAGGTGGCTGTTACCTATCAGTGTTGTTCCAGAAACCTGACTAATGCAAATGAAAGCATGGCTGGGCCAAACCACTTGGGGAAAATGTTGCTTATGCCATTGTCACTTACTGGTGGCTGAAGTGAATGCCTCTCAGGCACTGGGCAATCTTGTAACAACAACAGAATGCGGGAAACTGACTTTCCTAAATGACAGTATTTCTCAGCAAGGCAGGCAGAGGCCAGGACAGGGTCCCCCAGGACCTCAGCAAGCTCAGGGACTGCTGTGGGACAGGACACAGTTGTTCACGGTTTTATGTTGTCTGGAGCCAGCAGTGTTTGTTTGTGTAATGCACTTCCCCCAGCATAGTTAGGAATCCTAGCATCAGCCCTTTGGAGCGCCCTTTCTCTCTGGGGTACATCAGTCCACCCCAGTGCTTAACGAGACTCTGAGTAGCCGGTTTTTGAAACAGGAAACCCCTGGGCTCCTAGGTCCTTACATCTGTCCCTTGGGACTGCCCTGGGGCCCTGGCCAGCTTATGTCCAGGCTGCAGTGTCCTTTCCCTGAAGGAAGCTGAGTAGGATTCACTCTCTTCATGTGCATGTTGGTCTTAGGGATCGCCGCTGCCCAGACCTCCACATGCACACTCCCTGCCATATTTCCGGAATACATATTTCACACACCCACTCGGTATCCACAGCCACATGTTCATGTTCCATGCATTCATTTCTTTCCACTCTGAGCACATACACAGTCATGTGGTTCCTATACCACGCTCATGACCACTCACGCCTTCACAACATTTTGGCTCGCACACGCACAACAACCCTTCCCATCACTGATGTCCACCTCCCACGTGGCCGTGACCTTGCTCCCGGTCTTTTTGTTTTCTCTTTGAGACAGAGTCTTCTAAGTTACACGGACGAATTTTGAATTTTCTATCCTCCTGTCTCAGTCTCTCAAGTAGCTAGGGTTCCAGCCCTGGCCAATCCCTATGCTCTTTTGCCCTTATATACCTCTTCCCTGCACTCCCAAATTTATCCCTAGTAGGATGGAGGACTTTGGGAAGTTTCCTGAGAGGATCCCAATCCTGAGCTTAGGAGACTATTCCCTTCCTCAGAAGGTCCCAGACCTTTGACACACTGCCTTCCCACTGTCCTGAGGTCACACCCCTTCCCAGTAGTCCCGACCCGTGGCACTAAACCACAACTCTTCCCAATGGTCCCACCCACAGCACTAAGCCACACCCCTTCCCAAAATGACCCCACCCACAAAACTAAGCCACACCCCCTCCCAATGACCTCGCCCATGGCAATAAGCTCATTTCTTGTTTTCCACATTCCATAACTGGTCACTCCTACATCCTCCCCAAAGGACTGAACTGCATTTCAGTAACACTGGAATGATTCATTGGAATGATTCATCGTTTATAATAAGTCTGACAGGTGACATCCACACCTCAGCCTGACCTTCTTCAAGTGTGACACCATGAGTACTTGAGCCAGGAATGAGAAGGGCAAGGGCCAGGAGGTGAGCATAGGAAGAATGTTCCAGAGGCAGGGTCCAACAGAGGCCCCGGTCCAGGACAGGAGGGGTGAGCACTTTCCTGAATTCTAAGAGGGGGCTGTAAGGACACAGAGCAGGTGAAGCAGGTGTGTGTCCCCACAGCTTGTCTGAGGTTCTCTTGAGGCCTTCACAAATGTGTATGCCTTGCAGTGGTGGCACACACTTTTAATCCCAGCATTAGGGAGGCTGAGGCAGGTGTATCTCTGTGAGTTCAAGGCCAGCCTGGTTTACCAAAAAGTTCCGGGACAGGGACAGTCAGGGCTGTTACATAGAGAAACCCTGTCTTGAACTCCCCCTCCCCCCGAACAAAAAAATGTGAATGCAAGATGGCTCATGATTCATGATTTTCAATCTGATTGGGATGTCATATATATGTGTTGAGTATGTGCACGTGTGTCGGGGGGGTACTCATACTTGTATACATGCCAAGGCCAGAGGAGAGTCAGGTCTCCTCTTTGGCTCTCCACCTTCTTTCTTTAAAAAGTATTTTTTTATTATTTATTTATGTGTGTGTGTCTGTCTAAGTGTATGCCTTTTGCATGCAGGTATCCATGGAGACCAGAGGTGGCCAACCTCCTAGAACTGGAGTTGCAGATAGTCATGAGCCACCATGTAGGTGCTGGGAATTGAACCCAGGTCCTCTGGAAGAGCAGCCAGTGCACTGAACCACTGAACCATCTCTCCAGTCACAGCACACACCATATGTCTTTGAGGCAGGGTCTCCCCTGTATCTGGAGCTAGAGTGTTTTGGCTAGCCTGGCAGCTGGCAAGCCACAGAGAGCATCGTGTCCTTTCCCTGCACAGCATTGGGGTCACACACACACACACATGACCCCATCAGGTTTGTTAATGAGTGCTGGGATTTGAACTCATGTCCTTTCGGTCATGCAGTAAGCACTTCCAACTGCGGGGTCATCTCTGGTTCTGGGCTTTTTTGTTTTCTGTTTTTGAAACAAGATCTCACTGTATACTTTTGACTCACCTGGCACCCACTATTCAGATGAGGCTAGCCTCAACCTCAAAACTCCACCGGCTGCTGCCTCCCGAGCGCTGGGATGAAAGCATGGCCACCACGGCGCAGTGGGTCTACTTTCATGATTTAACTTTAAGATGACCTTATAACTGAATTTAGAAAGTCAGAAATACTTGCTGGGCAGAGGGAGACTGTAAAGACTGGACACCGTATTACCTGGAAGAGTGATCGCCTGTCATGGTTTTGCAGGGGTGGGGGCAGGACTGTATTTAAGAGCTCATTGCTGGGACATTAGGACTATCCCACTGACTCTGTCCAGCTATTTTCTCTGAGCTGACATGTTCATCCTGGAGCTAGAAGGAGGCTCAGAAGCCTCAGTCACAAGATTCACAAGACCCCTCTCTCCCCGGCTCCTGTAAGAAGCAATAGCTGAGAGAGGAGCATCTGGGTGGTGCTGCCTTCAAGCTGAGCAGGGGTTCCTAGGGGTACGGCATCAGCTATGCTTGGGCGCCCTCTCTGGTGATGCAGATGCCTTTGGTCACCCATGCCCCTGTAAATAACCCCAAAAGTCCATTGGGTCATCAAGGGAGATTGATGGGCATTTGTTGTTGAGAAAAAGTCTTGTGTAGCCCAGGCTAGCCTGGAACTCGCTATGCAGCTGAGTATGACTTTGAGCTCCTGGTCTTCATGCCTCTACCTCCTGAATCCCGGGACTTCAGTCATGTGCCACCACAGGTAGTGCATTCCATGCTGGATGTTCAATCCCCAGCTTCATGCATGTGGGGCGGGCAAGCCAGCCCCCAGCGTCTGTCGTGGTGGATTTGGGTAGACTGTTTCTCTAGGCTCGTCACTGTTTTCTATCCAGAGTAAATACACATCTGTTCACGTCGACCCAGGAAGTCCCACAACACACTCCCCTTGGACGGGACTTTTGGAACATTGAGCCTGGCTTCCCTGTGACTTCCCTTAAACGGGGCAAAATGAGACACAGTGGTCGACCTACAAACAGAATTTCGCAGTCAGTTTTGTTTCTAGGCAATGCCTGTAGAAGTACTCCAGTACCCACGACCCACACTCCATCTTTCTGCAGGTTTAGATTTGGCTATGTAGTCCAACCCACCTTCCAATTCACGATCCTCCTGCTTCAGCCTCTCAGGAGCAGGAGTCTAGGTTAGACACCATGCCTGTTTCACATTTTAAAGATTAAAGTCATGCTTATTTATTTGTGTGTTTGCGTACTCATGAGTGTGCATGTGGAGATCAGAGGGCAACTTGTAGGGGTAGGTTTTTGCCTTCCACCATGCGGGTTTCAGGGATCCTGACTTGGGTCGCCAGGCTTGGCAGCAAATATCTTTACCCATGGAGTCATTTCTTCTAACCTGCGGAACATTTATTTTGTAGCCATTTTTATGGGCAGACACATTCCTCTTGCTTATTAACAGACATGTAGGGGCTGAAAAGACAGCTCAGCAGTTAAGAGCACTGACTGCTCTTCAGAGGACCTAGGTTTGGTTCCCAGAACTCACGAGGCTCACACCTGCCTCTAACCCCAGTCCCAAGGCATTGGATGCTTTCTTCTATCCTCCAGTTCCCTCTGGGACCCCCACCCCTCTAGCTGGCAGAGGCTTGCCCCCATCTCTCAGCTGGAAGACAGCAGGAACAGCCACACAGGTCAACCTTCTCTTTGATAATATGGTTTATTGTCCATTGACAGAGCAGTCATTCAAAAAAATAAAAATAAAAACTGATACAAAGCATCAGAGACACGCGCAATTGGCTTGCTGACTTTCAACAACTCTCGGGTGTTGCCAGCATGAGGCGTGGGGGGGCTCCTCTCAGACTTCATACTCCAGCATGAACACGGTGCTTCCCCCCCAACAACCAAGAGTTCAAACAGAAACAAAATCAACAAAGCTTTAAATTATGTGGCAAGCTCACAGATATAATATGTATCAAGCAGAGATTTGGAAGTAACTGCCATGTAAACGTCATCTGAAATACTTGGAGTTGCTGGCATGATGGAGACAGAGGGAGGAAAGCCCAGTGCTTAGAACACAACAGAAGTTAACTCCTTAAACTACATATGGCGGCAGCTGAGTGGCTGTTACTCAGCGGCCGTCTGACACGCTGTCCCAATAGTTCACTTGTTCGCTTGTCTCTCACTTGCCTGGTGTGGCTAGAAAAGCCATCGTGAGTAGGAAATATAAAGGCATCTTATAGAACCAATCTACTCAGAGATTCCTTCCTTCATAATTATTTGAACCAGGCACAAAAGATAGGGAGACCGGAAAAACAGATATTCAAAGAACTCAAAGATCAGAAGGGTTTCCTGGTCCCAGGCCGGCTACCATGCCATGCTTTCCACTCTGGGTCAAATGCTTCCTCGATGCCGAAACACTTTTGCTTTTTTTTTTTTGTTTGTTTTTAAAAAGTGCAAAGTCTAATGCTACCAAGGGCATAAACACAGCACAAGAATGCTCACAGCGAACATCAGAAACAAACCAGAACATGTCAAGAAGTCAGCAGAAACGGCATTGTTACACATGATACCACTGCACAGGAAGCAAACAAGCAGGGCAGGATAGACTGCAGGGTCTCGTGGGCTGGTCCATGACAGCATCCTAAGAAGAACATCACTGCACAACATGAAAATGCCCTCGGGCGGGGCAGGCTGATTCCCGGGCATTCTCCCTGTCTGTCTTAAAAGGGAGTTCTGAGCTGGCCAGGTCCTGGTGTGGGGGCATGGCTAGGGAGTGTCTGCAGGGTGGATCTTAACAGTTGCTTTGGGGTTTCTGATGGTTAGGACAGGGCTGGGGAATAGAGGTCCTTGGAAACATTTTACAAAAGGACTGCTCACAGGCTACCAGACTTCAGAGTCTGTTTCTGTGTGAGCATATGTGTGCATGTTTGGATAATATACATGTGTGTCCTTGGGACAGCTTATTTTTAAGACTTGGGTAGGAGGAAGAGCAACTATCTATATTGTCAGTGACAAAATTCTGCCTCTCTTAACCCCTATCCTATTGGCATCAGAAAAATCAAATTTTCTTTAGGGAGCAAGTAGGTGCCCCAGTTCCCTATAAGGGCCTGAAGTGGGCAGCCTCTGCGACATGAAGAGACAGAAGCAGAACTGAGTACACTTGCCTCTCAGCCTCATACGGTATCTGAGAAATCACCTTTAGGAGAATGAGATGGCTTTAAGAACAATTCGCAGCATCCCGGGAGCTTGGTAAGATGGCTGCCCGCCTCTCAGGCTCCCTCGCCACCATGTGGATTCGTGTGCTTGCTTAGTAACACACAATAACAGCAGCCAGTCTGGCAGGGAGCTTTCACTAGAATTTTTCTCTTGGGGTCTTACAGGACTGGCCTCTTACATCTTCGGTTTGTGCAAAAAAAGGGAATGCTACCAGCATCCCAACAGCGGCAGGGCATGATGCTACAGAAAGCAGAGCCCTGCTGCTCAACCCAGATGCCTGAAGCCACTCGGGAAGGGGTTAAGAACAGCTCAGGAGGCTCAGCAGTGACTAGAGGACAGCCAAGCATCCCTCACCACAGATGATCGCCCCCAGTGGGAGATCTCACAGATCCCCACGGGGGGATGGGTGGAGATGGGGAGGAGTAGGACAGAAATGACTTGGCTGAAGCCAGAAACACGGCTCAGGGAGGGCTCCCGCTCCCACGAGCCCGAGGGCGTGCCACTGAAGTCTGTGGATTCATGGGGTTGACTGGGACTCCTAGACAAATGAACCACTGGTTGGAGGGCTACTCTTGGACTTGAGCGGGATCCTGGTGCTCGGAGTCTACACCAGGTGCAGTGGGGGGGGGGCACTTGCAAGGGCGAGAGACCTTGGGCCAGAGGAGTGGCCGCTGCAGAAAACGAGGGACATATCCCTCTCAGGATGAAAAGGACCTGGTAGGCCGGCTACACAGTCTTACAACAACCTTCAAGAGTTTCTGCACAATACACATTTCTAGGCTCCGCCCCAACAGGGCCAGGGGGACCTTAAATGTCGCCTGTCAGATGTATATGACCGTGCCAAGGAGGCCTGGTAAAATGTCTCTTTTCCACTCCTGCCTGTACCCAAGGATCAAAGACTGAGACACACAGTTCTCAGCCTGGCAGATGGAGGCGGGTATGGCAGGGACTCTGGCCCTCCTGCCCCTCCAGACCCACAACCACGTTTAGGGAAAATTGGGGGGGGGTGCAGAATCACACTAGCGTGAACCCACTTGGATGATTGATGTTTTATTCATGCTGTTTCCAGGAAGGGATGTCAGAGCTGGACCAGTCTAAACCCTCAGAGGCTTTTCGGTTGGCCGCAGGGGCTCTTGTCAGCCTGCTTATGGGTCCTCGATGTCAAGGAACTCCTGCTTGGGGGGTGCCGCCCCGCGGTACCACGCGCAAGAGCCATCGCTTCTCTTGATGCAGGCAAAGAACTTGGCCTGGTGCCCGTTGATGCTCTTCTCCGTGACCCAGTCCATCCAGAGGCACTCATCCGGCGAGGAGATGTAGCACGGGATCATGGGGCAGCGTGTGATCTGGGGGACACAGGCAGGTAGGTTTAGTTGGGACCAAAGAACAGTTGGGGTCAAGGGCACTTGATGCACCTCCAGGACACAACCTGTTGAAGGTGTTTAAGGACAGTAGTCCTGCTGATTCCTGGGTCCCCTGGTTTCTGCCCTCGAGTTCCTGCCTTGGTTTTCCCATGTGGAGAGACTACAACCTTGAACATTGAGTTCCACTAAACCCTTTCTCCTCTCAGCTGCTTCCTGTCAGGGTATTTTTGGCAAGCCTGTAACTGAGGATAGGCCTGTAGGAAACCTGTGTGTGCACTGGCTTCTGCATTTACCTACTTATGTAACCCTGCTTTTAGCCATCTGGTCTACCTTTTTGATGGTTTCTACTTAGGTCCTTTTGCAGCTTCAGCTACAGCTACGACAACAGGCTTAGACTGGAGATAGATTAGAGCCAGATAAGATTTCCTATGCTTGTTTTAAAGCATCTGCTTGGGTCAATGGGTCACTAGCTTTTTGACAAAAGATTATGGAGCTATGAGAGTATCCAACTCTGGCCACACAGAGATGAAGAAAGAGAGTTTGAACTTAATTTGTTTGTTCTTGAGACAGAGTCTCATGTGTCCTAGGCTGGCTGAGAAATTGCTCTGTAGCAAGGGATAACCTTGAACTCAGGATCACCTGCTCTCACCTCCTGAATGCTGAGATTACAGAAATGTGCTTCCACACCTGGCTTATGTGGTGCTGGAGATTAAACTGGGGGCTTCGTGTGTGCTATCAAGCATTCTATCAACTGAGCTACTTCCCAGCCAGCTTTTTTCTGAGACTCACCCTGCAGCCTGGGCTGGCATGGAACTCACTCTACAGCACAGGTTGATTTCAAACTTGGCAATCCTCCTGTCTCATCCTCCCAAGTGTGGTGTATAAGCATGCCCAACCAGAGTTTGCTTTGATAGGGACAGAGGAGCCATGCTTGGCCCAGATTTGGTTGGACCCCTGAGGATGAAATGACATCTTTGATAACCAAGTGATGGGAAGCACCAGCCAGAAGGAAAGCAGGTACCATGAAAAACTACCAACCCATAGGTCAAGACTGCTGGCACCTCTCAGTCCTAGACTCACTCCTGGTAACACGAAGGGATACTGGCTACCCGGTACTGGTAAGGGGAAAGGCATGGGCCCATGAACATTGTTGCTCCTTGGAGGTGACATAATCCCCAAATCTGGGGATAGATCTCACCCTTTTTCCATCACGTTTAAGCATGTGTGCATCTGTTTAGTGCCGCCTCTGGGCAGATTCACAGAGACCCATGCACAGGAGTCTAGAACGTTAGGAGCAATACCTAGGCTCTTGGATATACAATGCTTGCATGTATACCTGGATAGGAAAATATTTCCAGGACCGTATTCTCCCCACAAAATCTCCTTCCCTTGGAGCTTTTCTTTTTAGAAGCTACCAGTCATGTGGACTGATTTATGTGCTTTGTCCCACTCCCATATCCCCTTAGTTTCCAAATATTCCTTGCCAAGGACACAGCTCAAGGTTCTCTGAGGCCTGGGACCAAAGGCTTTGTCTCTAGCTGGACAGTCTCGCTTTCTTATCTTCCCAGAGTTCGTTTCAAAATCAGGACTCCCCGTCCTGGGGGTCTGGGAAGCCAAGGAGCCTGTCCCCAGCTGTCCACCTGGAGACCCTGTGATGGCAAAGTCAGGGAGGGGTCAGGACACAGATCTGGCTCACCTTGCACTCGCAGCCCATCTGGTACCTGTGGTTCAGGCTCTTCTTCTGGGTGGTGCTCAGCGTGTCCCAGGGCACAATGAAGTCACAGAGGGTAATGTGCATCTTGCCATCTCCTTCTGCCTTTCCTGCAGGGAGAGTCACCAGACTCAGGGTGAGGGTCAAGTCTTCCCCTTCAGACTTTCTCCTGCATCCGGGTGCAGCTCTGGGTGTTGAGGGTCAGTTCTAACAATACCGTGGTTGGACTACTGAGTTTTAACTCATGTTGGGGCTAGAGAGAGGGTCAGTGGTTAAGAGTGTTTGCTGATCTTCCAGGTGACCAGAGTTCAGATCCCAGCACCTATGTCAGGCAGATGACAACAGCCTATAACTCCAGCCTCCAGGGGGATATGACACTCTCTTCAAGCCTCTGTGGGCACTGTACCCCCTGACATATATCCCCCCTCATGTAAAATAAAACAAAAATACACCCCCAATATTTTTGGTTATTTGAGACAAGGTTTCTCTGTGTAATAGCCCTGACTGTCCTGGAACTCACTTTGCAGACCATAGTGGCTTCAAACTCACTGAGATACACCTGCCTCTGCCTCCTGAGTTTAAAGGTGTGCATCAATAAAAAAAAAATGCATGTTTGAGTCTGGTATGGTTGGGTACAAAGTGGTAAAGGCAGGAGAATCAGGAATTGAAGGATGTTGGCTACATAGTGAGTTTGAAGCCAGCCTGGGCTATATAAATCCCGGTCTGAAAAAAAGGAGGGAGAGGGGAAATGCATGTTTGCGATGGATAGCTTTAATTGCAACTTGACATAACCTAGAATCACTTGGGAAGACAGTCTCAATGAAGGATTATCTGCCTTGGATTGGCAGAGGAAAGGTCTGTGGGGCACTGTCTTACTTAATCCGTGTGGAAAACCCACTGTGGGTGGCACCATTCCCTAGGCAGGGGTCCTGAACTATGTGTGAATGGAGAAGCTGAGCTGAAGGCAAGCAACCAAGCAGGTAAGCATGCAGGCATGTAGTCCCTCTCTGCTCCTGACTAATTGCTTTGCGTTCCTGCCTTGGCTTTCCCACATGGAGAGACTATAACCTTGAACACTGAGTTTCAGTAAACCCTTTCTCCGCAAACTCGCTTCTTATCTGGGTATTTTTATCACAGAAACAGAAATGAAGCTAAAATAATGCTCAGTATAGAGAATTTAGGAGTAACAGTGAAGGAGAAGGGGGATCCCCAGTCCCTTATCTGCAGCTGCCACACCCCTCCATGTGTGAGACCACACCTGGCTTTTTATATGAGTGCTAGGATCTGAACTCAGGTCCTTGTGGTTGCACAGCAAGCCCTTAACCACTGAGACATCTCTCTGGCCCCAGACCAAAGCACAGCATACAGATGTGTGACAATGTCATAATGATTCTTATCTAAATATTGATTGCCTGTATGGTGTTTATGTGTGTGTGAGCACTCCTACACATCATAGCATGTGTGTGGGAGTCAGGGGAAAACTTTATATTGTCTTTTCTTTTCTTCTACTTTTACATGGGTTCGGTGGTTGAACAAATGTAGTCAAGCTTCTTTGGCAAGCATCCTTACTGGCTGAGCCATTGGAAGGCCTGCAATTATTTGTATAATTAGCAAACACTAATATAAAAAAAAAAGAAGTCCCGTTAGCACCATCGCACTGGGCTCACATGGCACAATCAACTATTGCAACATTTTAACTTGGGAAAAGGCAAAACATGAGGCTTGGTTAAAGAAGAACAGGAATTGAGTAAAATGAGCAGCTAAGGGTTATATGTTTACTTTTCCTTTCAGGAGAGAGAAACTTAAAAGAAAATTACAGGGAAAAATCTATACAAGTCCGCATGTGAAGCTGAATCATCGGTCTGGGAGGAAGAGGTCTCCATAGCCAGCTGGCTGGGCTGTGCGCTGGGCCACGTGATTTCTGGGTAGTCCCTGGTTAAGGGGCCTGTCCTGACTCTAAAGAACGGGAAACAGGTTCTGTTGTGCCTTGGGCAGTCAGGACTCGTCCAATCTGAAGTCACCTGACCAAGCCCAAAGAGAGAAAGATTAGAGAGGCTTTTCAGACAGTGTGCCTCATGCCTGGTTCCTTTCCCAAGAGAAGAGTAAGTGAGGTGTGTGTCCTAATTGGCAGAACAGCTGACTTATGGGCAGGCACAGTGAGTTATCACTGAGTTGTACCAAAGAATAGTTCTCATGGGGAGGCCAAAGAGGCACAGAGAAGACATCTCTGGCTGTCCTAAGCAGCGCACTGGTCATCGTCAGTATTCTAACGGTGTGTGTGTGTGTGTGTGGTGGCATAACCATGTGTACATGTTCAGATGTGCTTGTATATGTGTGTGTATATAGTATAATCATGTGTACATGTTTATACGTGTTTGTTTATGTGGGGTATGTGGGGGCTGGAGGTCATGTTGGGTGTGTTTCCCAATTGCTCACATCTTATTTTTGAGGTAAGGTCTCACTGAACTTATTTTGCCAATTCAGGGAGCTCTAGGGAGTCCCATCTCTAGGGTCCTAGGCATGTGCTACCATGCCCAGCTTTCATGGGGCGTCTGGAGATTAAACTTAGGCACTTCACTGATGGACCCACCTACCCAGTGCCCAGTCCCCTGAGGGTGGCTTCCTACTGAGGTCCTCTGCAGGCCCTTCTCACGTATCCTAGATAACCTGCTCATAGCCCAGAGTGCACGTCACTCATTGGCCCTCATTCGGTGTGACACACAGGTGCCCGCCACCTTACACTTTTGAAACACAGTTATTTGTGAACGTGGAGCAGGCCCAGGTCAAGGTGCCTGGAGTCTTTCTGCCATCTCTCGCTTACATGTGACAACTGCCCCACCACAGCATCTGGGAGGCACTGGCAGATCAGGGGTTGGCCATCAGTTCAAACCCAAACAGGTGTGTTTGCAGAGGGAGCACCTAGGCACACATGGGCCACTTGTCACCTTTGCTGCCAGCTTGTTCTCTTTGGACAAAACACAGTGACTTCTTGACATCTTTAATTGCCCTCTGTTGGGCCAATTAGATGGCACTTGCCGCCGAACCTGTTGATCTGAGTTCCGTCCCTGGGACCCACACTGTAGGAGAGTGCTGACTCCCTCAAACTGTCCTCTGACCTCCACTCATGTGTCATCATATGCGCACATGTATACATGTGCATGTGTGTGTGTGTGTGAAAATAGGAAATCACCTGTCAAATTCAATGGAAAAGAATATCACGTTAAAAAATTTACACATAGTACTAGAGCCCTGGCATAGCATGTCTAAGGCCTTGAGTTCCATCCCCAGCACCACCAAATGCATGTACGGGTGTGTGTGATGTATATATGTGTATGCACACATGTGTGTGCATGTGTATGTGTGCATATGTCTATGTGCATGTACATATGTATGTGCACATATACATGTGTGTATGTTTGTGCATGTGTACGTGTATATGCACATATGTATATGTGTGTATGTATGTGTGTGCATGTGTATGTGCATATGTATGTATATGTATGTATGTATTGTGTATGTAGGTATATAGGTGTGTGTACACATACACATAAAAAGTGAGGCAAGTCTCACACCTGCTATTGCATGGACAGAACCTGACATCATACTAAGTAAAATAAACTGCCACAAAAGGGTATCTATCTTTCTGGGCAATGGTGTGCATGCCTTTAATCCCAGCACTCAGATGGCAGAGGCAGGGGGAATCTCTGTGAGTCTGAAGCCAGCCTGGTCTACAGAGTGAGTTCCAGGACAGGCTCCAAAGCTACACAGAGAAACCTTGAGCTCTTCTACCATGTTGGTCCTGGAGATCAAACTCAAGCTGTCAGACTTCGTGCTCCGTGACTTTACCTACCGAGCTGTCTAGCTGGTCTAGTTACTGCAGGGGTTTTGTGGGGGTTTGTTTTTTAAGACAAGGTCTCACTGTGTTGGCTCACAGAGACCTGCCACCTCTGCCTCCCAAGTGCCACCATGCCCAGCTACACTAGGGCAGTTTTTAAAACGACATGCCGCAAGCATATCTAAAGGTGTCCTTTATTAATGTTATGCTCTGGGCCAGTCAGGGGACTGGACTGCGCCCATGTGTTTGGGGCAGTGAGTGTGACATAGTCTAAGATGACAGGTACATGGTGACTGAGTGGCTTTGGGGATTTACGGTCTGCATCGTACCTGGAGCTACAGCGGGTTCGGGTCTTAGCAGGCCCAGGAAACGTGCGCTGTGCTATTTGTGTGCTTTTCTTCTTCCTATGACAGAGGAGGAGAGGACGCACACGGGCGTAGTGGGGCAGCACAGAACAGAGAGGGCAGATGGGAAACCTCTGATGGCCCTGTCTCCGTGGGAGACGGGGGTTCAGCATGGCAGACACTGATGCCCACATGCATAGTCACTGAAATAATCTGGCCTCCTGTGTGGACTGACCCCCCAGACTTTGTTTGCACAGAAGAGGGGCAGAGCCAGAGAGGATGCCCCAAGATGCCCCAAGTACACAAAACAGAGCAGCCCCCAGTCATGCTCATCACACTGTTGCCCTGAAGGACTCCACCCTTCCCCTTCACTCAGGCATCTGCAGCCTCCTCATGCTATCCGGGCACTAAGCAGGGCACGGAGCAGGAGTTCGAGCCTGTTGTAGCGGTCACGGTGTGTCAGGGCTCCTGATAGCAAGGCATGGCTCACCGATTTGTAAGCTGCCTACCCAGAAGCCTCTTACTGGTCTGGTGGGCTGGTTTTCATCTCATGGAACAAAAAGCAGTGCCCATGCTTGGGATATTCAAACAGTAAGCAGGTCCAACTAACAGGTCTGGCCCCAGGAGGCCAAAAATGGAGTTCGTGCTCACAGGAGATGGCCATGCTTGACTACTGAGGTACATCTCTCCCAGTGGGCACTAACCAGCTATTGACAACTTCTGGCCTTTGTCAGGGAAAGTTCTGGTTAGAAACTGGATGTTAGCCCTGATCACACACGGACTCACCAAAGGACAAACTCCAGCCCTACATTCTCCTTGACTTGCACTAGATACAGCCTGGGCATCTGGCATGTCACAGGCTGTGGGGAATCCCAGTGGGCAGTGAAGCAGGCAAAACACTCATACACATACAAATAAATCCACTTTAAAAAAAGAAAGAAAGAAAGAAAGAAAGAAAGAAAGAAAGAAAGAAAGAAAGTCAGACCACATAAAGCCAGCAGGGGTGCTGCAGGGCTCTGCTGAGGAACCTCTATCTACTGGCTCTCCTAGGAGGAGAAGCCTCTCCTCCTGACGCTTTCTGTGCCAGAAATGCCCCCACACTGGGTGCCAACGTGACACCAATCGGCTCAGAAGAAACAGAACCACCGGCTCTTGCCAAGTGTTGCAAGTGGACTCCACGTTAATCCCTGTGCCTGAGACAAACCTTCATCTGCATTGGGGAATCACGGGTACACCTTCTAACAGGAAGGCAAAGGATTTATGCAATCTCTGTAGAAAGAAATGGGAAATCCCTTAACCTCCCAGCCAGTGCCCAGAGGAGGAGATGCTGCTGGACTTCCCAGGACTGCCGCCCGCTGGAGAGGCTGCTAATACAGACAGCTTCTGAATAGGCAAGGACCTGGGGGGGGGTGCCTCTGGGAGTAGGTGCTAGCAAGACAAAGGCAGCTTCACCAGAGTCTCCTAGACTTGGGCTATAAGCAGTCCCTGTGCCAAAGCAGATTGGCTGGTTCGCCCCTAGAGGGCAGTGTGGGAAGGCTGTTCCTTAGGGACCAGGACATAGGAAAGCAGAATTAATTCTGTCAGGGTACCATGACCCAGTACTCAAGGCTGAGCTTCTACACACCTGCAATTAGATATTCCTTCTTCCCTCCAACGTCCAGCGAGACCCCGCATACTGCTGAGGAGGGGGCCGTGTAGATAAACTCAATGTCTTTGTCAGGTCCTTTGAACATCTGAAAAACACAGTAGGGCAGGAGTGAGCACAGTAGGACAGGGGTAAACACAGTAGGGCGGGAGTGAGCACAGTAGGGCAAGAGTAAACACAGTAGGGCGGGAGTAAGCACAGTAGGGCGGGGGGGAGGTAAACACAGTAGGACAGGAGTAAACACAGTAGGGCTGGGGTAAGCACAGTAGGGCGGGGGTAAGCCCAGACAGGTTTCCAATCAGAACATGATGCGAAGAGGAGTCCAGGGCTGTACCCACATGTGCCCCTTCCCCACAAGGCATCGGAAGGTAAACACAGAGATTCACAAGCCCTGCTGCTTTTGCGAAGGTGCTCAGAGTCACATATCCGCTTATGGTTGTAGGTAGACCCCAGCTGGCAAGCACAGCCTGTCACTGGAGGGGGCTTTGTCTAAGGACATTACTGAGCACGAGGTCACCATTTCCGAACCCCCGTAGAAATCTAAAGACTGTCACTTGCCACAGAGGGTCACATCTGTCTGTTCCCAGGGACTGGGTTAATTTGTTTGCTTAACTAAAATCAAAACAAACTAGGGCTACACAGAGAAACCCTGTCCTGAAAAACAAAGCAAACAAACAAAAAACAAAAAAAAAAACCCACAAAAAAAACAAAAAAAGGTTTTTTATTTTTTCTTTTCTTTTGATCTTCACTTTGTCCCTACCCCTACAACCCTGTTCTGAATTAAACCTGCAGTCCTGAACCCAATAATTTACACCCCAGCCCTATTTCCAGACTTTTTTCCCTGAGACAAAAGTCTCAGTTTGCAGCCAGGTCTGAACTCGAACTCTCCATTCTCTCGCCTCAGCCAGGGTGCTGGGTTTATAGACTTGCACTACAACACGCGGTTTATTCCCAGGGACTTTGGTGAAGCACTGGCTACCTAGAGACAACCAAGGGGGGGACGGTGCCCTCTGGGAGGAGACCTAACCTCAGGGGGGGACGGTGCCCTCTGGGAGGAGACCTAACCTCACAGTCAAGGGAGGGCTGGATTTCTCGGGTCTGACTTGCTTCGGCTCTTCAGGAATGCACCTGCTGCCCCATGGAGGAAGACATTGCCCAGTACTTAGATGTGTGTGTGTGTGGGGGGGTGAGAGTGTGTGTGTGTGGGAGGTGAGGGTGTGTGTGTGGGGGAGAGGTTCCCCTGCTCCCCCTTTGGCTCATACCCTTCCTAACATTCCAGAAGACATTTTTCATTTGTCTTCCCCCTCTTCCTTCTTCCTCCATCTCTTCAAATTTTAAAGATATATGTTTATTTCTATTTCTGTGTTGTGTTTGTGCCCGTGTGTCTGCTGCCATGTGTGTGTCCTCAGAATCCCATCTCCAGATCCCTTCAAGCTGGAGATGCAGGCAGTTGCGAGCTGCCTGATGTGGGCACTGGCACGTGCTCTTACCCACTGAGCCCTCGGGCTCCAGTCCCTCTCAAGGACAAACCAGCTTGGGGAGCTTCACTCTAACCCTGTAGAAAGGAAGGTTGCCAGGGCAACAGTCTTCTTCTGCATCTCAAGTGGCGCCAAGGGGTCAGTGTTGCTTCCTTGGCATTAAGCCACGAGGAGCTTATGGAAGCCCAGCTGCTCGTCTGCCTCATAGAGGGACCTTGGTATTGAGAGGTCAGTCGTCCCCTTGAGGTGACATCTGTGATGAGGATGTGCTCGCTCCTCTGGCTCATGGATAATATTTATTTTCAGTTTCGGTAAATAAGGATAACTAGGGCCACTACTGCGTGACAAGCTGTCCCTAACGCTGGAGGAGCCAGCTGTCTTTCTTTGAACCCCGAGTTAGTAAATGCCAACTCTCAGAGCAGGCAGGTACCCCCCGACTTAGTTCTGCAGTGTCGGGAATCAAACCTGGGACTTTCTGCATGCTAGGCAAGCATGCTACCAATTGAGCCACATCCCCAGGCTCTTCCTTAACCTCTCTTGCTCTCTCAAACATTGTTTTCTTCCCATTCACCCCTGACATGGACAGTACTCTGAAAACATCAGCAGACACCACCAAGCCACCACTGCTGCCATCTGCGGTCCCCTCTATGCCTGCCTACCACACTCCTGCCTTCCCAATGGGATACCACAGTCAGGAAGCTGCCCTGGGCACACCTGCCTGTCAGACTCATCCTCTTGTGACATGATACTCACCGGGTTATCACCCAGTCAAACCAAGCTAGCCTGTCTCGAGGATTAGGGTGGCGTGGTGGTTTGAATAAGAATGGTCCCATTGGTTCAAATATGTAAATGCTTGGTCCCCTAGTCTGGGAAAGATTAGGAGGCACGGCCTTGTTGAAAGATCTCTGTCACTGGGGGGTATGGACTTGGAGGTTTTGGAAGTCCATCTGCTGTGTTTGGGTCAGGATGAAAAGCTCTCAACTACTGCTCAGAGCCATGTCTGTCTGCTCCCCACCATGATGACCACAGACCCAGCCTCTGAAACTGTAAGCAAGCCCCCATTTAATATACTTTATTTTCAAGAGTTGCCTTGGTCCCAACATCTCTTCCCAGCATAGGACAGTGACTGAGACAGTTGAAAACCTAAAATCTCTACCAGTTTTTCATGTTCCCGTGGCTTAAGGAGAACTGAGCGTCTCTGTGACTTTGAGGACTCAGCTTTCTGGCTTACGCTGGCTGGGAGGCGTTCCAGGGCTCCACCCCTGCTTCCCCCACAAAGTCAGGGGCTACCTTTATCTGCTTGATCTCATACTGAATCCTCTTGATGGGGTTGCCGTAGATGTCGTTCCCGGAATCCACCTCCTTCTCACTCACGGCTTTGGCCCTGATCACTGCAAAACACAGAGACACAGATAAGGGGGTCACTGGGACGGGGATTCAGGCTCTGCCCAGGGGAGGAAGGTGTGCCTCCCTACAGGAGGTACTAAGGGCGGTGGGCCTATTGTCCACCTGAGGGGTCACAGGAGTCTGACCTGGCACAGGTAAAGGGAGGAGGCTCTGCGGCCTGTCATCCTGGAGTGGTCAGCAAGAGTCCTTTGCTGTGCATGGGATGTGGCTCAGTTGGCAGAGTGCTTGGCTAGCATGTACAGAAGCCTGTGTTCTGTCTCTAACACCTAGCACTATATGAACATGGACACAGTGATACACACCTTTAGCCCCAGACCTTAGGAGGTAGAGTCAGGAAGGGCAGAACTTCAGGGCCAGCCTAGACTGATAAAACCATCTCACCAGGTGGTGTGTGTGTGTGTGTGTGTGTGTGTGTGTGTGTGTGTGTGTGTGGTGGTACATGCCTTTAATCCCAGCAGAGGCAGATGAATTTCTGAGTTTGAGTACAGCCTGGTCTACAGAGTGAGTTCCAGGACAGCCAAGGCTACACAGAGAAACCCTGTCTCAAAAAATACAAAAAACAAAAGGACAACCACAAACCTGACTCAAAAGACAAAATCAAAAACCAAAAAGCTGGGTGTGATGGCACACACCTTTAACTCTAGCACTTGGGGCAGAGGTAGGCGGATTTCTGTGAGTTCAAGGCCAGCCTGGTCAACCTAGTGAATTTCAAGACAATTGGGGCTACAAAGTGAGACCCTGTCTCAAAGAAAACAACCCAAACCAAAACCCAAAGGAACAGATCCCCAGATGAGCCCTTTGTTGACTAGGGCACCAGGCGGCTCTGTAGAGCAGGCTGTGGCCATGGGTCTGGACTGGAGAAAAGTAGACGTGCAGTGGCCTAGCGTGCAGTGGCCTAGCGTGCAGTGGCCTAGCGTGCGGTGGCCTAGCGTGCAGTCCTGCTCCTGCAAGCAGGGCTGGCGGAGAGCCAGTGCAAGGGCTCTGATGTCCCAGCATCCCACCCTCAAACAGGCTTTGGGGGCTGGAGCAGATGGGCAGTCATCCACCCCAGAGGAGACTGGTTTATTCAAATTTGGGGTCTCCACTGTGTAGCACAAATTCTAATTGGTCTTAATAGAGTCAGCGATCGTGGTGAATGCGGAAGGATCAGAGCAGCAGAACGGCCAGTCGCTAGAGAGTTCTTACTACCAACGCTTAGACCAAAGGGGTCATCCTGTTCCTACGGATCCCGGGCCTGCCTGCTCAGACTGCTCAGACTGCTGCGAGCTCCCGTCTCCTTCTGCCTTACATTCCTCTCTCCACCCAGCCATATCCCTCCTGTCTCCACCTCCCTAAGTGCTGGGATTGAAGGCCTGTGACCCCAAGTGCTAAAATCATCTTTGTGTGAGCTCTTTTTCTCTTTTAGACAGATTTGATCTCGTGTAGCCCAGGGTGGCCTTGAACTCACAGAGATCCGACTGCCTCTGCCTCCCAAGTGCTGGGATTAAAGGTGTGTGCCACCACTGCCTGGACTCTATGGCTAACTAGTGGCTTAGCTCTGTACTCTGATCTTCAGGTAAGCTTTATTTGTGAAAACACACACAAAATATCACCACACCACTGGGATACTAGGGTACAACTCAGAACAGAGTACCTGCCTAGCATGCAAGAGGGCCCGAGTTCCCTCCCTAGCGATACAGGAGAGAAGCTTCCATGTGAAATGTCCCATGGGATATGCGTGTGAAGGTCAGAGGACAACTTCATGTATCATTTCTCAGGTGCCATCTGCCTCATTTTGGTTTTGCGTTTTTATTTAACGGGGGTGGGCGGGGTTTACACACTGCATGATGCAACCAACATGTCAAAGCCAGAGGACAACTTATGGGGCCAACTGCTCTCCACCATGTGGGTTCCAGGGATCAAATTCAGGTCAGCAGGCATAATGCCAAGCACCTTTACACACCAAGTCACGTCGCTGGCTTTCCACCTTGCTTTTGGAGACAGGGTCTCTCACTGGCCTCTCTCACCGGCCTGAGGGTCTCTCACCAGCCTGAGGGTCTCTCACTGGTCTGCGGGTCTCTCACTGGCCTGGAGCTCACCAGCTGGCTCGCCAGCAAGCCTCTGGGTTCTTCCTGTGTCTTCCTTCCCAGTGTTGGGATTATGAGCTACAGCAAACATGGCTTTGTGGGACACTCTTTAGAGTAACCCGCATTCTATGACAAAGTTGACAGACATGGAGTTAGAAAGCCTGTTATGCAGGCTATGGATCTGGTCAGTAATGTTAGTGTGGCTCTCAAACATTAGACACAGACGGTCCCATCGGAAGTGCGTCCAGGACAACGATCAAAAGAAGCCATGGGAAGGGATAGACCAGGAAAGTTACAGAATGTTCTGGAGTCTGGTTGCGCCTAACATGGGTTTTTCTACTAGAAATTAAGCCCCTGGTCCCTCCCTGGACACCCTATGACTAAAGCTCAGCAGATCCTGCCACAGGCAGAGCCCTCCTTTTCTTTACTTGGAGGTTTTTAGCTGGGTCAGGGTCTGTTTTAATGGCTTTAAAAGCATTGCTCTTCAAAAGGCAGTGGTGCGGGGTCACTCTGGGCAAGCGTGCTGTCACCTTGCACACGAGTTTGATGGAGACAAGGGGGCAGACAGTGCCGGCTCAGAGTCTCCAGCGGTCAGCTTGAGTCTTGGAAACTTCTGGCCAGGACTGTTTCCCACAGAGGCAGGGAGGTCCGGGCACGTGGGAGTGCCATCTGCTCCTTAGACCCCAGCAATGCACTCTGGATCCTTCCTCACCAAATCTCACACCACAGCCCAGGCCCCACCCAGCTCCAAGGCCCATTTACATTGGTCCCTCTGTACCTCTGAGTCACCACTGGCCTGGCCACAGGTTCCTGCTTCCCAGCCCAAAGCAGGCCTCACTTCAAACAGCTACAACCTGGTAAAAAAGCTACCTGGCAGGCCACCCCAGAACAGAGGGTTCTCTCTTAGTTCTGTGCCTTCCCCATAAACATTTCTTGCAAAATGCCTTCACTGAAAATTTGAGCCAGGAGTAATGGTACACACCTTTAATTCAAGCACAGGGAGGCAGCAGAGGCAGGAGGAACTCTGAGTTTGAGGCCAGTCTGGTCTACAGAGCAAGTTCCAGAACAGCCAGGGCTGCACCTTCTGCAACCAGACTTGTCCCTTGCTCTTTCCTAATCCATCCTGCTCCCTGCCCCCCACATAGTAGGATATCCAGATATGTTCCACCTTCGAACAGGGAAGCTCTTCTACCCAAAATGTCACCTCCAGGTCCCTGCCTGGAGAACTTGTATTCAGCCTTGAGAGACAGTCCCCTGCCCTCGCTGTCTTCTTCCTGCAGCGATGGGCATTTTCGCTCATCTCTCACACACTCTGCTGTGGATGTCTGTGCACCTGTCCGCTGAGAGGTCCTGACAAGTAGGGGCTATGCTACGGAATAGCTGAGGCTCAGAAAACCACCACCAGATGGAACTGGGCTGACAGCATAGGCGTGCTGGTCCTCGGTCCCCTCTGTGTAACCTGTAAAACCGTCATTGTAATGCTTATGCAAATGTGTAAGCAGGACAGGTAAGCACTGCCATGTGTTTGTTCTTTGTATAGCACGGTCATCAGCTCGGAAACAAGAGGGGGTAGGGGTCCCAAAGGAGGTCAGTATACCTTCCTCTACCAGCCTAGAGTACTTGCTAGCTTTGCTTCTCAGTAGCGGCCCACCACACTGCACAATGCTTAATGCTCACTGGAATATTAAGGGCGGGACTGTAGCTCAGTTGATGGCGGGCTTATATAGCAACCACAAAGCCCTCAGTTCAAGACCCAACACATACGACTGGACACGGCATGTATTTGGAATCTCAGCATTCCCTTGAACTATTATAGAGTTTGAGGCTACCCTGGGCTATGAGAATGCACTGCCCACCTGCCGATCAGTGACTTCTCATTCTTTCCCATGGCACTGAGGACCCAATAACTGCTGTCTTATGGGAGCTCCCAAGTTCCCACACACGCCTGAGTCCCTGACACGATCTAAGCCAAAAAAAAAAAAAAAAAAAGGTGGAGAAGCCACCAGGTGTGAGAATGTGTGTGAAAGGTGCTGCCCAGAGGAGCGCTAACTACGGTGCTCATCGGAGATCGCTGGGTTGCACATCCATCACAGATGTCACCATCCGGTGTCCAAAGGTGATGGGGAGAGTGAGCAAGCCCCCCCGTAGGGACATCGAGTGCAAGGGACACATCGTGGAGGAGTGAACAGGGCAGATTTCTCTGCTCCTACAAGGCGAGGATCTGGAAAGCTGGCCCTGGTGTCCTGGCACAGGAGTATCCTGTTGTGAGCTCACATCGCCTGGGGCTGTGGGCCATACGTTTCCTCCTTTGAACTTTTCAGAAGAGAAATGAGATGCTGGTTTTCCTTAATGGGTGGGGGTGGAGGGGAGGCCAGGGATGTTTGTAGGCAGTGGGAGACGGGCAGAGGTGGTAGAATCGCCATCGACAACCAGGCTGCTTCTGACTAGCCACAGGGACCTAAACTACAGAGCCTTTAGAGCGGAAGCCTGATGGTTTCCTCTCCCATTAAGCGTTCCCGCTACAACAGGAGGCTATCACCGCTGGCTACAGCTGACACCTGTCTTAGCTGTAGCTGTCCCCTGGTGAGATCACTGGGTGGGGAAGGGGAATGGGGAGGTCTTGCCAGTAAAAGCTTTTATAGTCCCAGCCTTAGAGGGAAGTCTGATCTAGGCAACAGGCAGACAGATGGACAGGAAACCCTGGGTGGAAGACGGGAAAGCAGAGAAAATAAAGAATTCTCTAGAAGTATAATACCCACACACGGCAGTGGTCATCACTGTGACCTCCAGGGTGACCACGAGGGCTATAGAGGAAAGGAGGCCACCTCACAGAATGGGTAGCCTTCCTGAGTCCCAGACCATCTGAAGGACAGGAAAATTCAGACTCAGAGAACTTGGAATGAACTAGAAGCAAGGCA